CTATATAAAAGAGAGTACAAAATATCGAGAGAAATTACCTTACAAAATTCACTTAGAATAAAAAGATGTTCACACAAATGACAGTGTAACACTTGTGTCTCACAAATTATCTCCCTAAACAAAACTCTGAAAGGCTTCATGACTACACTGTAAATGCTACCAAGTGAGAGTTAAAAACTTTTCCCTACAACAGAAATGATAAGACAAATATAGAAATTTTGTGCTTTTACTTTTAGAAAAAGAAAAGCTCAATTATGATAAAAAGAAAAAAAAATTCAAGGCAAACACTCAATAATCCCCCCCCCCCCTCCCCGACATGGTCTGAATTTGTGAGAAAATAAATTTGTTACACCTTCTTCACATAAAATCTTTAACAGGGTGAATCTTCATTTCCAAATCTCCTCCATTAAATTTTTGTTTCCACAAACAAAATTCTTCATTACCATCAAATAGGCTGCTGCTAGAACATGACACATATGAATTAGTGAAATTACCGAAATATTAGAAAGCATTAACAAACAAATGGATCTTTAGAGTAAAACAAGAGCAACATATCTCTGCGTCTAGGTATAAGGCGAGGTTAGTTGTCAAAGGTTTTAGCTAGAAGAAGGGAGTTGACTTTGATGAAATTTTCTCCCTATTGTAAAAATATCTTCTATTTGTATTGTTTTGGGCTAAGTTGCAAGTCTAGATTTGGAGGTTGAGTAAATAAACTCCAAGATTGTTTTTCTTTAGAGAAAATGATCTAAAGCCTCCCCAACCTATACCCGAAATCCCAACTACACACTCCAACTTTACGGGTGTCCTATCACCCCCCTGAACATTTTATTTTTCTATTTAGTGCACACCTGAGTGCTGATCAGTACACATAAACCAAATACATTGACTAACGTGATTTGCACGCGCGGTGTCACGACCCAAAAATGGATGTGATGGCACTCGTCGTATCCTACCAAGACAAGTCAACCTAAAACCCAACTAATTAGATAAAGTGCGGAAATAAAACAAAGTTCAATAACAATTACTATTACGAAAATAAGTCAACTTAGTTCAATCTCCAAAATCTGGTTGTCACATGCACAAGCCTCTAATGTAAATACTAGAATTGAAATAAAATATGCAAGTCTCAAATGACGTTGTCTTTCAAGTAAAACAAAATCATAACCAGGAGTAAGAAGGTTCGCTGAGATGACAAACAGCTACCTCTCAAATCTCCACAGAAAGCCTCGAAAACGAAGAGAATGGAAGGTATCACGAAGATTCGGGCTCGTAACCTACAAAAGATTGTAAAAGCAAGGGGTGAGTACCAAACCACCCGATACTCAACAAGCAAACCTCTAAACACAAGCTAAGGGAACAGAATACGGGTAGTCCTTACACCCAATCCTAACCTCCACAACTACAACCTGCATAAAACCGGCCCAACCTAATAGTTCACAGTTTACAAAGCATATAGCTCAACAACAATAACAGATTATATATTCTCAATAACACTCAATATCCATCAATGACAAGTTTTACAGAAAGGCACTCACAAGATCAAGTTTATCAATGATAAAAATGTGCAATGCAATGAAATGCAATATCAAATATAATGATGCATGTCTGACCTAACGATACACACCCGCTGTCTCTCAGTCTGGGACCCATGGGGGACATATTTGTCCATGCATCCATCGCGGCGCGCGATACGTCCCTCGAAATGGTACATCCTCTTACCACATAACGCTTATCACAACCATGTCTCAGAACAATGCAAATGACATGTTCACATAAATAATGAGGAGATGACCAATTTAATATCAATGTACAATTCACAACAATACAATCGTGACACAACATCAACAATTAAACAACAAGCCTTTTATACCCTTTTCCATCATTAGAATTATTCAACATGGACAAGTCAACCCATCACCAATTCCCATTACTCCCAAACATATACCACAAGGAAATACACGAATTCCATACGCTTAACAAGGGTTTAGAAATCCACTTTCCCCAAATCATAATCAAGTTTGTAAGTTTCAAGCCTAGGGTTAAGCTTCAACTTCTCCAATATCACAAGTCTAATGATATTTATACAATTCGGTAACCCAATATTTAATTACCTATCTCAATATATTACATATTTAATTTATAATATGATACTTAAAATAAGAACAACTAACTATGAAATCTAACCGGTCAATCAAATTCATGGCAGAACCATGAAAAACTCACGAAATCCCAACGAATTATCCATTCCTGACAATAATTGCATAATGCCATTAACAACAATCACACCCACCATATTTTCACTTCAAATTTCCCTTATGTTAAACTCCAACAACGTACTGACAACTATTCAATCCTCACTCTTTATTCCAATCCAATGATTGGCTCATCATCATCTATTCAATTAACCTACTTGCCTTAAATTTCCAGAATAGGCTCACGGTCCACTTTATCAAACATACAGCAATATACCTTAATTCCCATCCAATATCTCTATTATATAATTTTTATTCTTTTATCTATCATTTCCCTCTCTAATGCCAACCATTAATTTCGTCCTCATGTAGCCTCCAAATTTACCAAATACGAATGACACACTAAATCAGAAAAGAACATTAACTACTCCGTTAAACCAAATTCTCAAATTCATACAAGATTCCCTTTTATCACATAATCAATTAGATAAAACAATTACGACAAATTTGTACTACTAATTGTTACCTGAAGATCGAATTTCTTTCCATTTCCTCTCTTGTGCACCCGCTTAGGTAAAGTTTCTGACTCCCTTTCTTTTCTTGAATAAATTGTTTATTAAAACTGACACAATCCACTAACTTATTTTTAACACATGGCCCTAATGGTATAGGGTCTTAAATAAATAATCACTTTAGCCCACTAACTATCGATTAATTCAATCAACTACAATTACCCATCAATTAATTAACTCAAGTTAAACGAATAGTTCAAAATTTCCAAAAATGACCTTCCGGGTCATCACACGCGGGCCCCACTTCAACCTTTCCTTTTCCCTCTTAAAGATCGAACGACCTCACCCCTTACCCCCAATTCTTTCTTTTCGCTTTTCTCCTTTTCATCTCGCCCAATTCTTGGTCGAATTTAATTTCGACCAAAAAGTTTGCAAATTCAACAAAATTTCATGTTTGCATCTCACTACAACGTTGAACATTGGGTCTGATTCATCGATACAAAGCTTATTCAAGTTTTTATTTGTCATTTTTAACGAATTTAGAGAAGATTCAATATTCAAATTAGAGAACTTAAATAAGAAATTAGAGCAGATTACAAACCTTAATTTCAAGATTTTAGAAATGAACATAAACAACTAAAACCTAGCCATTTTTGAAAGAAAATCGTCAAAATATTGAAGAAGGAACAATGATTAATAGTGGGGAAGAAGGAACAAAGGTTTATTTAATTTGGGGAAGATGACCATTGCCAATTTATTGCCTCTAACGCGCCTAGAGGAGGTGCTCTCACCTCCTATGACAGGTCAGCACTCAGGTGTGCACTAAATAGAGAAATAAAATGTTCAGGGGCAGTGGCGAATTTATGTGTAAAATTTGGGTCACCCGAACCCGTGGTCCTCCGACTAAACTCGATATATTACTTGTATAATTATTAAAGAACATATTAAATAAACACTTGTTGAACCCGTTCTTAAAGTTGCTGGATGGTTTACCGGTTTGAGAGCCAGATTTTAACACCAAGGTCCTGAGTTCAATCCCAGTCAGCCACAATTCACTTCTTTTTTTTTTTAGTAACTAATAACACTCGTTTTTTCAAAAAAAAATGAAATTCTAAAGCAATGGTGCACCCGTTTTCTTGAAATCCTGGATTCGCCTCTATTCAGGGGGTAATAGGACACCCGTGAAGTTCGAGTGTGTAGTTGAGATTTCGGGTATAGGTTGGAGGGGCTTTAGACCATTTTCTCTTTTTCTTTATAATAATTTAGAAGAAGAAATTTACATGAAGCAATTTGAGGATTTTGTAGTTAATGAAAAAGAAAATTATGTTTGCAAATTGACAATTGATTTTGAAGATTTTTTTTTACATTCCACACATTTTTAATTTTAGATCACTAGATTAAAAAATCTTATTTACTTTTTTATATTTTGTGTCAAATCAAAACAAGACAAATAAAATTGAAACGGATGAAGTATGAGTTACGAGTTACGAGTTACGAGTTACGAGTTACGAATTTAGGTGAACTCAATAATTTTGGCACAAACCTTGTTTGTGTGTTAAGAAATCTGCTAATTATGTAAAGAAATATCTATCAGATTTCGAACCCAATAATACAAATTGTTATTACTTTTATTGGTATATCGACCTATAAAATTCAAATTCTACATTCACACGTATATGACTATAGGATGTTGGATTTGTAAAAAGACATTATAAGTACAAAAAACTTAGAATTAGTACACTTGGTCAAACCAAGTAAATGTGATTATGTGAAACATTAGTGCTTTAATCAGCATATTTAATGAAGTTTACAATAATAAGTGAGCAAGAACTATAGATGAGTTACATAAGCTAAGTTATTTCAATCAAAATGTCATAAAGCAAACTCTGCTCAAACATTTGTTGCAAACTTTGGTTTAATTTGCTTATATGAACATGGCTTTGTGTTTCTCAATTTTCATCTTTAGTCCATCTTTATCTGCTCCAACAATCTTGTCAACAACTTTCCCTTTCTTTATCAACACGAACGTTGGCATCGCTTGAACTCCATATTCCTGAGCTTCAACCAAGATTTGAGAAATTAGTATTAATCAAGACATCAGACGAGTATGATGTTGATTTCTAAGATGGTCACTCAACTAACAGCTATTATCTTAGAATGTTACCTTTCTTTCTTGATTCTAATTTTTGTCAATAAGAAAAGTGACGTTCTGAGATAATAACTATTAGTTGAAAGACCATATGAGAATTCAACTCGATAGTATGAAAAAAAATTAGAAAAGGAATGTGATGGTAAGTAATTCATACATCCAATTCATCAACATCAATCTTGACAAACTCAACATCTATATATTTAGCAGCAAAGTCATTAAGAATTGGTTCCATGTATTTGCAAGGACCACACCATGTAGCTGTGAAGTCAATAACAACCTAGTAACAACAGAGCAAAAATATCAAATGATTAGAAGGTAGATTATCTATTACGACGGTGTAAGGCTAAGTTTATACGCTAATTAAACTGGTTTATAAGTACTTTTTAGTTTATTTACGTGTTTGATAAACACTTTATAAGTCAAAATCCATAAATTGATCATTCTCAACTTATGACGTTTCAGCTTATAATATAAGCATTTTTAGTTTGACCAAATATTTTTATCCTTATATTTTTAAGATTCTCAAAATATCTTACATGGATACTTTAATTTTATAATTTATTGTAAATTTTAAAGGATATTTTAGTCATTCTTACAAAATAACAACTTATCAACATGTTTTACCAAACACATCATCAGGTGTTTATTAACAGTTTCAACACTTTCATCTAAACGCGTAACTGATTATTAACTTATCAGCTATATATTTACAATCAACCAGGTTAAAATAGAAAGATAGTTTAAAATGGTTACCAATTTGTTTGTATTTTTCAAAGAATCAAAATGGAGCTTCCATTTTGTTGAAGAGTGGAAAGCAATGACTTTAGACCTCTTGAATTGTGGTGTGATTGGCATATTATGAGCTTCATGCAATGTAATTGAGTAGTTAGCACCCATTTTTCTTTTAGATTTCTAGAGTAAAAGGTTTTTATTTTTTCTTAGTTTTTGAAAGATTTTCTTTGGCTTGATATTGGAATTAAGAGTTTTACTTGGACCCTTATAATATTGGTTGTTGATGTACTAAACTGTTTTGCCTTTTCAAATTTTAAAACAACTTAAACTGGTTATAGAATATGTTCATCATGTCGACCATTTCATTATACAAAGAGAGATTTGATGCTATTTTGCTTAGGTTTTGGTATTGGTGTTTTAGGCTAATATTTCATGTGTAGGGATGTGAAGATATGACATACGGATCTAATTCAACCACAAAAGCTAGTTCATGAGGGGGGGGGGGTTGACCAAGTCCATATAAGGAGACCAATTTCCCATTCATGATGTGAGACTTCTTAACACTCCTTCACATGCTCAGGCCTCAACAGGAGTGTGAACACTTATAAATAGGGGCTCAACATCTGTGAACAACAAATTGAGATGGGTCTGGCTCTGATACCATGTGAAGATATGATACATGGGCCTAACTCAACCCCAAAAGTTAGTTTATGAGGAAAGATTTGTCAAAGTATTACCACTTTAGTTTAATGAGTCCTCAATCAGATAATAAAGATTGTTACTCTATAAAGTGTCACAACCCAAAAACCATTACACATATTCTCTGCTTTGGCCCAATAAATATAATGGATTTGCTTCTTATTGGGTTACGCCATCATCAAGCTCAAAAACGCATACCGTGTGAACTTGTGTTTTGTCTTATATAAGCACTTTTATTTTCTCTCATTTTTAAATGTGAGATTTGGTTAAGGTGTGATGTGTATACCTTTTTCTGAAGCTTCCCAACCTAGAAGCCTTTGGTCTTTCTCTTTGACCCACCTTCATCAGCTTGTCCTCTATCATGGGCATCACAAACGCCCTTCTTTAGGAATTCAGTATCCTCGTTAAGGTTTGCCCCAACATCGTACTGCAGGAGTCTGACTCTGATATTGTTAAACGTTGGACATTCAAATTTCATCTTCGTTGTTACTTGAACTTTCCAACTTATCTAATGATCATCTAGACACTTTAACTTACCACATATATATATCATGAACACCCGATTCCAGTAAACCTCACATGAAATTTCAATCCTGGGTGACAGTCAAAGTTGAAAAATGGGAAAAGGCTCAAATATGTCATCGAACTTTGAGAAAAGGCTCATTTAAGTCATCCATTAAAAGTTTGGCTCATCTATACCATTTTCGTTTGAGAAAAGGCTCAATTGTGTCATTATTTGTTAATTGAAAACAGTTTCGTTTTGCAAAACTATTTTTTATACGTGGTCAATTATGATTTGGTCACGTCATTAATTATAGCATTTTGTAAAGGGAAAAGGCTCAATATGTCATCGAACTTTGAGAAAAGGCTCATCTATATTATCCGTTAAAAGTTTGGCTCATCTATGTCATTTCAATTAACAAGTAATGACATGGATGAGTTGTTAAACGTCAAAATGCTCAAATATGTCAGTATCGAATATCTACGTGACACAGTAAAAATGAATTAAAATGGTTAGATGATTATTTGATAAGTTAAAATATTCGAGTAATAGTTAATGTCAAATTTAAATGTCTATCTATATATTCCGCCTAATTAAAAAGTTGGATACCATTTCGTAGGAGAAGATGAAATTTTTTATTCCTATTTGATCATGGGAAGCTATGCTCTTTAAAAAGTGAATTTATTGGATATGAAACCAATTCTACTGTTGAAAGGAACATCTAGCTATTTTACCACCCTGGCTAGCATCAAATAATTAGAAATATTATTATTTGTTCTGTTATACTCAATGGACAATGTAATAGTTAAATTCAACTAATACTACAAAATTATTGGACATCAATATTGGTATCGAAGTGTGCCTCTTCACAATAATGATTAAAAAGCAACATGTTTTAATTAAAGATAAATATAATAATTCGCATAGTATCTAGGTTACTCATCTTATTCATTCAAACACAATCAGATAGAAATTGTTGACAACCTAATTAAATAAAGACAACCTTAAATAAAAGATTCATCTAAATTGATTCATACTAATATATAAAGAGAGTAATTAATTAGAAGTTCCGAATTTGAGTCTGACCGCAATTATAAAATGTTTTCATATATGAGAAAACGAAATAACGAGATCCATTGAGGTATAGCTATAAAGTTTTATTCTTAAATTATGTAATTGTCCTTGTGCACAAACACAAAGATGCCTAGAAAACATTCTCTAGCCAAATGGAAACTATGATGTTAACATATGGAATTTTAATTCCCACAAGAAAGTGTGTGGTTCATTTACAACTCAATATGTTCATGTATTGTGGTGGTCTGGTGGAGTGGTAAGTATTCCTTCATTTTTTAATCAGAGGTCTTGGGTTCGAGTTTCTTTGGATAAGGAATTGTCTTTGTTAGAAAGAGTTTTACCCTCTAATGTAGGATTTTTTGGCGCAAATTTGAATTTAGTCGAACTCTAATATGAATATCGAACACCAAACAGGAAAAAAAAAAAAAAGAATCTAATTGAAGTGTGCCACTGTCTGTCCTTTTCGTAGGTACAACTAATATGTTTGTGGTGATGAATATTTCACAAAAGAAATACTATTATATACTCCTCCGTTTTAATTTGTTATCTGATTTTAAATTAACATGAATTTTTTAAAAAAAAATTGATTTTTGAATATCACACCATCCCTAGATATAATTTATTACACTTCTTTTGAGCCAAGGCATATTATTATTATTATTATTATAAATTATGAATTTAAGTGCATAAAGGGTAAGCGATGGTATGTTATTATTATAAATTAAGAATTTATAAGTGCATAAGGGGTAAGTTATTCCCTATCCCATATGCTTTAATTTATGTCAGCATATTTTTTAAATTTGTTTAATTTGGAAAAGAATAACTCATTTTAAAATTTAGAAATAATTTTTATGTAGAAATTTTCATTTTACTCTTAATGATTTGTTTTATATTCATTTAAATGTTATAATATATTTAGATTATAAGCTTCAGAAATTTTACAATCAGAGAGCGAAGTTATGGTGGTAATAAATTCGACAGAACCTAAATTGTGCAAGTTATGTATTTGTGTTAAAAATTAATATCTACAAATAATCTACATAGAAATTAGTAAGTAAAAAAATTGTGATTTGAAATCCATTAAATAAAAATCCTGTCTTAATTCACCCTCTACATTTATAACATATGAGTAATACACAATATTATATCATGACTCCTCTCCATTTTCTCAAATTCCAACTTGAACAAGAGACAAGTGACATAATTACAAATTAAATGTAAAATATTAACAATCCAAAATAAGATTATAACCATAGTTAAATTAACAAATATTTATTTTATTTATTCTAATGTTTTTTTTCTTTGGTAATTCCACAATTCGAGCTAAAAATTATCTCATTATAAATCTATATATTAAAAAAAAAAAAACCCTTTATTTTCCTACTTTATGTTTGTGGCTTATAATATGTGAAACTTTTGAAGAAAATGGATATATGTATTTAAAACAGAATAATATAAACTAATGAAGTATGAACAATCAATTTAAAGCAAATGAATAAATTTCAAATCAATTATCTGTTATTTGTTCCCCATATGCCATATGAAGCATCCTTTTCTTTAAATATATACTTTTTTTTCTTGATTATTAATTTGAACCAAACAATTACTTTCTCCATTCATTTTTATTTGTTACATTTGGATTTGACACATACATTAAGAAAATAATTATTGACATGATTATCTATCATACGATCCCTATTAATTGATGTTTAGTATTACATTTGAAAATAATTTGAGAAATAAGTAATTAATGTTAAGAATAAAACGTATTTTTTTTCCATTTATGAAATATTAAAAAAAATAATGATGAAACAGGTTCAGTTAAACCCTCTAGCCCTATGTCTCTATCCTAGGACCATATATATATATATAATGTATCATTATTGTATAACTATGTATCGAAGATGAATATACATCTATGTACATTGTTGATATAATAAAATATACATTGCAGACCAATTCTTTTCGATCCCAACCAACTAAAATATCCTCTAAACAGTCTCAAAATTTTGATATGAGCTCATATCAAAATTTTGGATCTTTTGATATATTATTCACTCAAAACAATTCATATTTACGATAAATCAAATTTTAAAATCGAGCTTTGAACAAGAAAGGAGGAGGAGGAAGGAAGAAGGAAAGTAGTAAATAAACAAGGAAGAAGAAGAAGAAGAAGGATGGAAGGGAAGAAGTTATTAAAAGTGGTTGAATGACCGTTTTATGTAATATTTAATGATAATTAAGTTATTTGTGTAAGAAATTTTGACTCAATGAACATTTTACCTAATTTTCTTTTAAGTAATATGCCTCTTTATTTGTAAAAAAAATAACAATTAAACACCTAAAAATAATCTTTATAATCAAGACAAGATAAAAAGTAGGATGCTCCCACAGTAAAAAAATACTTTTGCGGCTGAATTTTAATTATCATTCATTATATGCGGCTATCTAAGCACAATTTTTTTGTTCCTGTCTCATCCTTTTGAAAAAAAAAATATCCGTTTTCTATTTTTATTTTTTTTCATATTCCGTTTTCGACGTTTGTTTTGGAGTGCTGACTGAATTCGAATCTTTCACTATAAGATTTATTCTAAGGTTGACACTTTCAACAGGATTTTTTTCATATTCAAAATTCAAACTAGTAACCTCTGATTAAGGATGAAGTAGGTATCATTAAAATTTATCATCATAGTTTCTTTATTTTTAAGATATGATGATGTTTGATACATTTTACTTTTATGCACCCATTCATGACTTTTAAATTTATTAAACTATTCAAATTTTAAAGTGATGGTTTATTCTCTATCAATAAAATTAACCATTTTATATATATATTCCCAACACCATTATAATATATATATATATATAATTAAGTTGACTTCTTAAGTAAATTGATACACTTTATTGACTAAATATAAATAACTATGCTTGATTATCGAAAAGCAAAAAGGAATAATATATTTTGAAGTGCGTCAAATGCGTGGCATAGTGATTTAATAAGTGAGTGAAAATT